CGAATTGCATTCATAAACTTCAACTGTTCCTGTAAAATTCCCGGTAACCATGCATAAAACATTTACTATTTTTAATAACCATGGTTATTAAAAAAATAGGTCAGCCTCCATGGTTACCCCATAGGTTTACATGTTAAAAAATGGTTTGAGCGATCGAGGATACCGTATGTGTGCGAAGGATTGGTCGGTAATTTCAATACAATTGAATCTCGATCGATCTTACCGACAATTTTATCTTGCATTGTTGACATGAAGACGAAAATAAACTTCCAAAAACAAAAAAACAACATCTGCCGATAGATCTTGATCTAAGTTCGTGCCAATATGCATTGCAAAAGTAAAAGAAGGGTGCTTTTGCGAAGCATTCATCACGCCGAAGCCGGTTTCAATCCACTTTAATGTATATATTGTACAAAACTGCCAAGCTCGTGAACAGCGCGCGATGGCCGAGTGGTGTAAGGCGTTGGTGTAAGATTCATCACTCATTGTACGCGAGAGTTCGACTCTCACCTTCGACAAAAAAAAAATTATTTTTTATTTTTTATTTTTTAGTCTATTTTTTTTCGGCATATAAAAGTATTAATGACTGCTTTAATATTCGAGAAATAGTTGTTTTCATACGCTCTCGGGAAGGTTACAATTGGGCTATTCCCCTCGGCAAGCCTCGGGGAATAGCCCAATTCTAACCTTCCCTTGAGCGTAATAAAACAACTATTTCTCTCAAAGCAGTCATTAATACTATATTATAACTTTACACATGTTATATAGAGACAAGAGGTGCCCAAATTTACACTGATATTGACATGATTCATATATACAGTTTTAAAAGATATTTTGACAATAAAATTGTGATCTGAAATACAAATGACAGTTTTCTTCACATGGAAACTTTGAAATGCAGCTTTAACAGTGACGAGATGGAGAAGACTAAAATGTGAGTAAATAGACTGGCAGTAAATGTACATCAAATCACTTCAACTTTAAATTCATTTGAATTATTATATCTCCCACAAGAACCCTCTAAACAAATTGTTTGTAGGGGTAAACTTTACACCATCCAAAATACTATGAGTGTACCCCCAAGATGATTCTCTCTTCCTCTCTTTCTCTCTCTCTCTTTCTCTTTCTCTTTTTTTCTCTCTCTCTCTCTCTCTCTCTCTCTCTCTCTCCAAAAGCCGAGCTACATGCATGTCAGACCAAATAATCAGTTGATACATGCATGTTCCGCTGCATCTGGTTTCACAGCGTCGAAAAGATAAAACAAATTAAAAAAACCTCCAAGCAAACAGATTTTGTGTCTAGCTACAAAGTACAATTCTCCATCAGTACATATACATGTGTGATGTACTGTATGCCTAAGACCATGCACACGCACATGACAGATGAACAAATTTGGGATACATCATCTACTCCTACATGTAGAGTTCAAAGCAAGTAGTAGCGGTAGATGGGGGCTTGGGGGGCTCAAGCCCGTCTCCCCCCCCCCCCCCTTAAAAGAAAAAGAAAAAGAAAAGTAAGACGATTCAAGAATGAATATACTATGCAAGAACCTCCAAAGCAGCCCCCGCATTAGACCGAATTTTCCGTCTCTTTCGTTCGTTAGCCTCTTATTGGGGTAGGGTCGGCTCTCTCTTTAGAGACGGAAACCGTCTATACACATTCCCTTGATAACGCCACGGCCATTTCAGGTCGTAGCGTTTTGCCCCCAAAATCCCCCAAAGTGTCATTTTACCTCATGCATTGATTATTTAAAATTAGGAGAAGGTTATACTACATCGGTTCCACTTACCAACTTGACTGAAATAATCCGTTTAATGGTCCCTTTTAAGGAAATTATGGGTCAAAATCGACATCCATGTTGAAATCTTGCAAGCCGTGTTAAACTCTCGCTGCGCACGGAGTCATCTAAATCAATCTCATCCCTTTTAGTCTACGCCGAAGGCAAAACGATTATGAAGGAAAAACTGTGATAACGCCATTACGAACGTGTAGATGGCGCACAGTTTTTCCTTCATAATCGTTTTGCCTTCGGCGTAGACTAAAAGGGATGAGATTGATTTAGATGACTCCGTGCGCAGCGAGAGTTTAACACGGCTTGCAAGATTTCAACATGGATGTCGATTTTGACCCATAATTTCCTTAAAAGGGACCATTAAACGGATTATTTCAGTCAAGTTGGTAAGTGGAACCGATGTAGTATAACCTTCTCCTAATTTTAAATAATCAATGCATGAGGTAAAATGACATTTTGGGGGATTTTGGGGGCAAAACGCTACGACCTGAAATGGCCGTGGCGTTATCAAGGGAATGTGTATAGACGGTTTCCGTCTCTAAAGAGAGAGCCGGCCGACCCTACCCCAATAAGAGGCTAACGAACGAAAGAGACGGAAAATTCGGTCTACCCCCGCATATTCCACATTCATTCTCAACATCATCGTCTTTTCCTCAAACTTACCATTCTAATTCAACCATTGTTAGGATTGTTCTGCAGTCTCGCCTCCGTATGCGTCTAGTTTCAGTTTGCAGATGATCTTCAATGAGTACGAAGATTACAGGAAAGTTTGAAGAAATAAATTTCTGAGTCACAGTTCACAAAGTTCACAGCTCTTCTAAAAAGGGTAGGATGTTCTTTGTCACTGTGCTAAGCAGTATTTCACTCAAAGTCACACAGTTAAATGCTCCCATTCAGCTCTACAGTGCAGCTGCAGTGTACTAGCTTTGTGACAATAATAATAGCACCTAGACAATCATATCACCCAGCCAGGCCAGATCGGATCCAGTGCACATACATAACATACAGCTGCAGTTGATGTTGGCGAAGAGTCTATAGATATCCGCACGATATTATGCGAATACTACAGGCAGGCAGAGACGGTGTTACCTAGTTAGCAGGAGCTCTAATCTGCCGATAAAAAACCGAGTAGATCTGCTGCCTACAATGATATTAATACCATCTTGAAACACCTTAAGGGCGAAAAGCGACCCAAATATAACTAAAATATTATAGGTCCCGATACAGGTACAGGTGCCCTCCTAACCTTTGTCCTGTATAGTACGTACTTGCGCGTGTGTTTATTTACGTTCATCAGCTGTGCGAGTGCGAGCTGCACTGCTCGCGCTCATAATATCTCATGTCTCTGATTTCGAAATGCGTTGAAAAATGTCCCCTTTATCGACTATAGTCCACGATAAACGCTCTATTTTTCACTTTATTTATCTTTGGTGATAAATAAGTGACCAAAATAATATTATTTGCTTTTAATTTTGTTTGAGCATTCTAAACAACCCCCTCAGCGTTAGTGGAGTCTCCCATATATGCACTTGTCGATCGAAACAACAACAAAAGTTTGGAAGGGGATACCCTGTTCATCGCACCGATAAGAGCATGGACATCCCGACTGTTGTTATTATAACTTTATGTAACAAAAAAAGGTGCAAAGGTCATGCTGGTGATAATGTCAGGTTATTATACAAATAATGAATGGTTATGAGTTCAATAGTGCGAATATGTTCATGAGTTGAAAGATTAACATTCTATTCAACGAGGTGTCAGCCGAGTTGAATAGAATTAACGTTAATCTTTCAACGAATGAACATATTTGCACTATTAAACGAATGAAAAACATTCATTATTTGTTTTATACAACATCGAAGAAGACCTAATAGAACGTTAATCAACAAATTATGCTTTACTCCTTATAAAGATAAATTAAAGTTCGAGTCAAGCCTTCTCGATTACATGCAGATTGCCTTCGCGTCAGATACACGCAGGGATACGCGCACATGCAGCAGAGAGGTACGCAGTCTGCATATAACCAAAAATGCACGGCGCATATAACCAAAAATGCACGACCGTGCAATATACCATCTATTGAATATCATGTGACCAACAATCGTCCAATCAAATGACAAGGATCCACGTAGGTGTTGTATAACATTTTCTAGCTACCCAGTAGGATGGAAGGGAAGATGGGGGGAAATGGAAGATGGGGGGGGGGGGGGGGGGGGCGGGGGGCTTGTTCTCGTCCCCCGCTCTCAAAGAATCCTGGATCCGCCAACTTGTAAAGAGAGCAAGGGTGGAAGGGCATCGATAACCAACCACTCCCTTCCCAAGTCAGATGCTGATTGGATTTCATCAATTTATCTATTTATTCAATTATTTGGTATTATTTCAACATAGCCCCGTTAGTAAAATAAAAACGCTGTTATACTTGAGGCCCAACATAACATAAACATATACATGTACATAATTAGTTACATTGTGAAAATATAATCAGGATGGTTCATCAGGATATTTAAACAAAACCAATTAATCAACATGAACTACATTTACCATTTTCAATCGTACTTATTGTACGTTTTACTTGTTGATTGCGGTAATTCAACTACTTTTTACAGCTCATTTACCATTTTACGTTTCTCATGTACACATGATCTTCATTTAATCAAATTTACTTATCGATGTCAAGAATACACTATCCCTAACCTCTCTTTTAAAGGTACTATGTCCCATTTGCAGGCCAAAAAAAAAAAAAAAAGTTAAATTCCAACGGTATTTGAAAGATAATATTAATTTAGAACTTCCCTCAAAACGAAAGGGCTTAAAAATGTCTTTTTGTTGGGAAATAACGACCGTTAGTTGTCAAATCGACTTTAGGGATTGCAATCCTTTTAATAAAATAGTCTGATTTTCATACCCTTGTACCGAATGGTCTGATTTTCATACCCTTGTACCGAATGGTTGTATGATTTGTGCTGCGCAAAGCCGCAAAGATTTCAATCAGTTTACTCCTGGTCATTACAATAGTTATTGATGTAGGCCTAACCTTTATTATGTCGCGTATGACCTACCTGTAAAATGTATACGTTAGCAGTGTCCTAGTATTCAAATTATGCAAGGAAACCCGTTTACTTTCTAGACTTCAGACACCGTCAGACACTACTGAGTGACTGGCTGACTTCTTTTTTCTTCGGTACTAATTTTAACAATATTCAGCCCATCCAGTTTCAATGATCTGCAACTACTAGATCCCGGGATGGCGAAGAGCATGCAAACATTGCTAAAGGCGAGTGACGATGACCTTTCCGACTACAGATTTACAGTGAACGAACCGGAGATCGAACTCAAACCAGGAGGGAAAGACGAGGTCGTGACCACTGCAAATGTGTAAGTGTAGTACGACCCAGTCAGAAAGATTTATACCGTTGTGTGGTTTAAAACTTCTACATTGGACATGTGGTCGATGTGGTCGTGGAAGTAGAGGAATTGTGGTTCACTTTGTCTTGGAATGTAATTAAAAAAATATACCTATATCGTTTGTGACACATTATCTACATTAAATTCCTTTCTGAATACTAGTTCTAGAGTTATCAGATTATAGATTTCATACTAACGCAAAACATCATTTCAAAAACAAATGTCACATTGCATTTGGAGTTTATAGCTTAACAGTTAAAAAGTGCGTTTCTTGTATTAAATTAAGCACTCAATTTCGAGATTTTAACCCATATTTTGATTATGGTATCTTGAGAAGTAACTTTGAACAATAATGCTTATTAATAAAGGCTGTGTTATCTTCACTCTCGTTTCCAACCAAACCCTGAAAATTAAGTGAATCCTGAAGTCTTGTTGGCTTTCAATGGAAATATTTCTTTTATTTTTCGAATTCCAGTCGAGAGTACATTAAGCTTTGCGCCAGGCACTACACAGCATCCTCCCAGTTCAAGGTATTCAGTAAGAGTTTTCGGAGCATGTTCGGTCGTTTCGGTCTTCACCAACGTTTCGCACCGCAGGAGCTGATGTCATTATTCCTAGGAGGGCAATATGATTGGAAGGCCTTTCAAGAAGTGAGCTCCTCTTCTTCAACATTCTTCAACACTCTTTTTTTCCTATTCAAGTTTCTCTCATCAACGTACTACAAAAAAAAAATCACAAATGAACAAAAAAATGAATGTACTTCGGACAGCCTGGTTGCACAAAATAAACAAAATATCGTGATTTTTGTTTACATAATGCAAAGTTGGTAGGTGCTTTTAGATTTAATAGAAGATAAAACAAAGATAATACACGCTGTATACTTTAAATTTGTTTCTTGGGAAATAAATTTGAAATTGTGTTAAATTTCATGGCACAGATCAATTATCTTTTCTTTGTTGTTGCTGTTGTTCATTTTCACTTTCGTAATTTGCTCTTCTCTGCACAGAGCTTTGGTTATGATGAGAAAGGCTACACAGCAAACCATCGCGTGGTCAAGATGTTTTGGTCAGTGTTCCATGGTGATCTCACTGAGGATGATAAAAGAGACTTTCTGAGTAAGTCAAATCTTCACTGGTGATCGTTGACCGACAAAGGCCTAACTGTATATAAATAGACGTACATATAACACAGTACTGTATGCAAAATAGATTATAAAGACGATCAGTCACTTCGTCGTGTTTGAACGTAGGACATTGATAATACCTTTTAAAACATACTGTGACAAGACAAAATATTGTGCTGCTTTGGCATCTTTTTTGTCATTTTGACAAGACGATCCTGATTTGACATGCATGGTGTTACTTTCAAGACACTGATATTGTCACTGTGACAAGATGATAATAATCTAGTCATGTCTTTCGCTCTGCATGTTTCAGGGCACATTGCTTTCATGATCCACCAACTACCTTTGATTATGTCGGAAGGCACTCTTTTTCCCAAAAGTAATGAAAGGTTTGAAATTCAGAAGAAAAAAATTCCCATACCAAATAGGGTTCATTCTCCAAAAGTTCATAAATTTTAACAAATTATACAGGGTTCTATGTCATTTTCGGAATTAGAAACGTTCGAATTCATGGAAATTATGAGCCCTATTTCATTTTCCGAAACACGAACCTTCTGAATTGTGAACCTTCAGAGTAAGAGACTTTCTGATTTATGAGCCTTGATATAAGAAGAAAACAAAAATGGACATTTAACCGATTATTCATCTTCTATGCGAATTGTTTTCAGGAGTCATGACGGGTGCTGACCATGTCCCCATTGGTGGAATCCAGGAGGTTAGACCTAGGATGTGGCCCATGGGAGGAGACAAAGATTGTAAGGGGAAACCCCCGAAGGACATGTGCCCTGAAGTGAATACATGTCATGGTTTCATCGTGCTTCATCTCCCGATGTACAGGAAAAGAGAGCATCTAAAAGAACGACTCATGAAGCTAATAGAGATGAAAGGGCATGGATTTCATAAAATACCAGAATAAACCTTGGACTGCCATAGACAATTTAACAGTCTCATATACGGACATTGACATAATATAAATCTAAGTTCTTAATCAAAGAAAAGTATTCAAAACTGGTTGATGAATTGTAATGTTGGGTCAATTTCAAAATAATTTGTATCATGATGAATAAATAAATTGTATAAAATCATATCTGTTATACACGGTGGCACTGAATTCGGTCACAACGACAAACCGACCTATTTTGGGCCATTGGGAATAATATGATTGAACATTTTGATTGGTCTGTAGTTGGTTTGGTATTGGTTTCGTTGGTGTGACTGAGCTGCGACAACATACGATATAAAGAAAGAATGGAATATATGAAAAAGCCTGTCATCTTCTGCATCATACATAAAGAACATGATCAACCACTATAACAGTTGTAGTTCTGTACATAATTAGATTTCTATTATTTAGTACATTCAGTCAATTTTTGTTTTCAAAATGGTGTATTTTGTATAGTTTTATGCATTTTGAATCATGGCATTCAAATGACTATCCATTGAAGTAGTCTGAGATTTAGGATATGGTAGTTATTCAGAGATTAAGTTTTGTTGTTAGTTTCCTCATTCATTACTGAGTGCGCTTCGCTTTAAAAACGTACACATTTAACGAAGGCAACAAAAAGGCGACTATGAGGATGATGAGGATAAGAAAAAGATAAAGACAAAGTTAGACACGTTTTGGTTGCCCTTACAAGATGCTTATTCACTTGGGAATAGTTATATTTCTAGCACTTTGGCACAGCAGAGCACACTGACATAATACATGTAGTTGAATACAATCAGCTAGTTAATGAAATTGAGGTTAGCAACAAGTAAAAGTTAACCAGAAAACAGACTTCAGAAATTACTGCATTTTCCCAGAAGATCCGGTTATTAGATATACTAACAAACAATTCAATTAGATTTGATATAATAACAAAATGCTGTCAAAGATTTCTTGTCTTGGGTAAATGTTATGGATATAAATGGATAAAAAATATGTAAAAATATAACTAATTTTGATTATTGCGAATGGAATCATAGTTTCTAAGACAGATTGTGTAGCAGCAATACCCCGATTTTATTATGAGAAAATAATGCCAGATGTGCACCGAAAGCCTTTATCTTTCTCTGCGTCGTACAGAGTACGACACTAGACAATTATTATAAGCTGATGGCGTGCTGTAAGTGTTGTATATTCTTGCAGTTATATCGTTAAACTAGTAATCAATATGAAAATATCTTTAAATAATTATTTCTTTATCTTATATTTTTCTCCACAATGCGCCATGGAGTGTTTTGTCAGACATTATAGAGGCGGTTTCTTCACTATGATTATTATTATTGTATAAATGTAATCATGGTGGAATGCAAAAATCAACATTATTTTTCATTTTGGGATAAGAAATCGTAATTTCTTTTTGTTTTTGGTTATTGGGGAAAATTAAAATTAAATTAAATGCCACATGGTCAACTGAAATTCGATCTTTGTAGAAACTTGTAGGTTTTTTAAACATACAGGTTAACTAAATATGTTTGTCCTACCTTTGTCAACGTTTTCCATGAACTTTGTCTTTTATATTCGTAATCATGATAAATATGAATTTTGATTTAATTGCGTACATATTATAGGCGAAGAAGAACTTCCTGGAAAATACTCTTTCATTTTCTGGGACACCAGCCTACATTCTCGAGGCTAAAAATGGAAAGGGTGTTTCTAGATCTTAACATCTTTTACGCGAGAAATTATTGTTTTCATGATATATTATTTCTTCTCAAATCGGAATGGCGACATTGTGATCCCCTTCTACTCGATCCACAAGTTAATTACATTTTTTTAAATCTGCAAACTTTACACTGCAGTTGAAATGATTAACCTTAACATTAAAAAGAGTTTTCTTCAGTTTAAGACACGAGGAATTAGTATTATGATAATGTCGTTCTGTACGGCATTACAAATTCCTACATTATTTTTATTGTGTGTGCAATACCTAAGGGAAATTGTAAACAACTTTCACTGTCATAAGGAGGGAGGGGTGGGGGGGGGGGGGGAGAAGGAACTTTGTCACGAAATAATTGGAGGAAAAATTAGGCCGGGGGGCATATGTCCTACTGCAGGATCTGTGTTTACATATTCGACATGTTATAACGTTGGTTTGTAGGTTCTACATACATGTAGGATCATAGTACAGAAATTAATGTTCAGTTTGTACGTGTGACACAATCGCAACTACTTTTGAAAAGATCAACCTAAAGAAATCACACGACCATTAACAAAGACGTATTACGTAATACCAACATGATTTCTAAAGGATATACCATGCATATTGAAAATGAATCTGATCTGATTTGTTTTCAAAAGTAGTTATGATCGCATCATGTAGAACTTAAAAGTTGGCTTAGTTTTTTTACAAAAACGATATGGAAATCCCATAATTAGGGCTCCTGAGACAGAAATCTTATTATTGTATAAATCTAGCTATTTCTTCGATATCCTTGATAAAAATGACGTTGTCTTTTCACACGCCATCTTTTTATTTTCTTTATTTTCCTGCCTCTGTCGTGTCTTCGCCATTAGCCCATTTGTTTACGAGGGGGTATGCCCCCACAACCCCCCCCCCAAAAAAAAGAGATAAATTGAGAGAGAGAGAGAGAGAGAGGGAGAGAGAGAGAGAGAGAGAGAGAGAGAGAAGGGAGACAGGGAAGGAGAAGAGTGAAAAGGGGAGGGAGGAGAGTGAAAGATATGGGGGAGGGGGTCAGATAATGAAAGACTGTAATAGAGATAAATGGATAGAAAATATAGAGTATAGATGAAGCGAATGACGAGGAGAGATGAGAGAGAGAGAGAAATTTCATCTAGATATATGATTTATAGAGAATGGGAGATACGAAAGTTAAGATAGAGAGTTTAAGATCATGAAGATAGATAGATATAAAGATAGATAGATTGATATAGAGAGGGAGGGAGGAAAGATAGATTGCAAGCGGGTAAGGAGGATTATTGAGGAAAATATGTGATTATATAGTATTAACAACAATAATGCACAATCGCTTCGAAATAGCGTTCTCAAAATACGTGTCACTCACAAGCACGATTAAGTCATCAGAATCATACTAAATACCTTTCAAACATCAGTAACATATACATCTTCTTCATTAAACTACGCAAAAGAAAACAAAGTACAGACTTTTTTGACAGAGATATGACATTTTATTCAATTGCAACTTGGGATTACATAAATGAATGCATCGTTGACCGTGAAGGCAAGATTAGTATATAATAATAAGAAGATCCATTCAGAGTTCATGAGTCGATGCAGTCAAGGTCTAAAGGTTGACGTAGAAGACGTACGGATGATAACCCATCGGTGTGGAGAATGAAGACGGTGTGCGGTAAAGATGCTCTGCGTTATACCTGGATGTAGAGGGAGAAGGAGAGCGGCTGCTACGAGAGAGAAAGTCTACTGACATCAACGGACTTTTGGCGCCCTTCGTCGAGTCATGTGGTGACTTATGCTGGAGCTGGATGACGTCATGGTGCAAGTGGTGTCGACCCGATGAAGGCATCGCTGAATCGGATCTCGATCGACTGCTTCGAGAGAGAAAGTCAACAGAGAACGTGGGAGAAACGGAATTCATCTTCTTGGTAGGTGGTGTGGTCTGGTCGACCTCAACGGTGTCGCACGATCTCTTCCGCTTACGACCGATGACGGCCAAGTCGATAACTCGGGCTGGTTGAATGCGAGGATGGTCGATGTCGTCTTTCTTGATGACGGGTTGATGAGCAGAGCTTGAAACAAGAGAGGCTCGACGGAGACGTGCACGACGATTCTGAAACCAGACCTGAAAATAAGCAAAACAAAGAGAATGGAAAAAAATCTTCAATTATCAACTATCAACAAAATACAATTAATTTCGACGTTTCATAGCACATTCTTTCGTTCAGATAACTACAGCTTCTCTAATTTAGAATAATCTTCAACAGTGGCAGAAGGAAAGCATTTTGAAATAACTTTAGCTAGCTTATACTAAGTTAAGTATGTTGTAGGCCTATATCATAATAATTATCCCGTCATTCCAAAGACTGAAGCTATTTTTTAGTAAACGAGTAAGTCTCAAGTCACAATAAGAAAGGACAGCTTTCAATCTAAATCTTTGTTTCACTTAGTTATTAATACAGTATTTGTTTTAATATATATTATTTTCAGTCGTTGCTAATAATTATTTACCAGTATTCTGTCTTCTCCAAGTTTCAGACTTGAAGCAAGTTGTTCTCTAGCAGTGATACCAGGATACTGGTTGTCGTTGAACGCGGTCTCTAGAATCTGTAGCTGTAAATCAGTAAAGACGGTGGGACGTCGACGGCTAGGGCGTTTGGTAGGAATGCTACTCGATGACACTTGGGTGATCATGGTGTAATCTGCCATTCTGATAACTAGTTGGAACGCGATTGATGATAGGTGATTACTTGTTTGGAGCGAATAATTAATCTTGTTGATTGACTTAGCAGTTATTAGCGAATGATTACCATGAGTACAGAAACCACTTATCCGCTCTCTGCAGCGTTGACGCACTTTTCTATTGGTCATTTAAGGTAGCCAATAGGATTAAGGGAATGTGCCCTTTTAGGAAAGAAGTACTTTCAATTGTGCCGAAGATAAACAGATCCTCCTGATTCGTCAATTACATAAGGAGAGATTAGAGACACAATAACTCGTCATTGTGACCGCGGCGTTTCAAAGCGCCAAAGCTGTCTTTCATTAGAAACTGTCAGTCTGTGTCTTCCCCAATCATAGCTTTATATGAATGAATGGAAATTTGGTGTTAGAACAAGAAGTATGATTCTCGATAAAAAATTGCAGTTTGTGTAGGCCTATCATGGAAAATCAAATTACATAGTAGGCCAAATCCTTCACCGTCAATTACATTCAATGTGACAATCACAAATGAAATAGAGTCAAACATCGAAACTATGTTTTATCCACAATACGGTATTTTACGAAAAATGTATAATTGTTTACATGTAGAGCCTAAGGGACTGAAATTTGTTCACTTTAATAATCAACATACATTTTGATCATTTTCTATAATACAATGTAGTAAAACAAATTAGGATAGTATACGCGCTTTACATCATGTATCTACTTTACTGAAAAAAAGTGTAATGCTTGATTTTACGATTAAGCGCTATATAATGATGCACACGATAATCGTGACGAAGTATAGAAATCTCTAATATAAAATATCTTAAAACTAATTAAGTAAACAATATTTTTTAGGGGATTTTTTTTTTCTTTCTCTCTTTCTTTCCTTTTTAAAATGTTTAGTTATTCTCAAAAATACGAGCTCTGCTTTTTGATTATCAGTTTTCTCTTTTCATTTTAAATTCGACTCAATTTATTATATGCTCACATATTCTGTGTATGTTTTTATTTATTACTTATCGACATTTAAGATTGTATCATTACAACCAAGTTTCAACTTGTATGTTATAATTGCAAATGTCATTTGATATTCATTTGTTTTAATGGTTTGATTGAGTTATGAAAATAATATTGTTTGAATTGAAAAGGTCTCAGTCTACATTTCTCAATAGTTTTTGTTAATTTCAGCCTAATTTGAGTAGAAGATCGCTTATCAATGTTCACATTAAGAAACTCTACAGCTAGTTTGCAGTGCTCACTTGCAAATCTTTCTCTAGTTAATATATGCATAATAATTACTGATTTTAACAGTTTGACAAGAAACAAAAGTACTGCTCGGTCGCGTTGCTCACACGCTTGTACAGTTATGGCGACATTTTTGAGCGGGGCGCAATTTCATTTTTTGTCATAATCCCAACATACGCCGTTCACGCGGGGAAGAGCGGGAAAGAATGAAACTAAGATTTTAGAAAAAAGAGAATGAGAGAATAATAGGGCGGAGAATCAACAGAGACACTACATGTACGAATTAAGGCTGATGAACCGGAGGATCACTACGATAGAGAAAGAAAGTGATTGACAGTGGAATACAGGAAGAAAGAGGCACGTGTAACTGTGAGGAGGAGTTTCTTATTCAAGAACTTTAGCCAAAGAAAGTGTGGATGAAATTAAAAGATGGAAAATGGAGACAGAAAGACAGACTAAAAAAGTAACAGAGAGAAGGTGAGAGAGGCAGAGAGAGTGGGAAAGGGGAGATTTCAAGAAAGGAAACGCAGAGAAAGAAAGCGATGAACGGATAGAGAGAGAGAGAGAGAGAGAAAGAGAGATAGAGAAAGAGAGAGAAATGAGTAAGAGAGAGAGAGAGATACAGGGAAGTGGTATGAAGAGATCAAAAGGGAAAGAGAGAGAGAGAGAGAGAGAGAGAAAGGGGGAAAATGACACGTTTGAACAGAAGGAGATTGATAGATATAGGGAAAGGGAGAGGGGAGATAAGACACTCAGTGAGTATGACAGAAAGAAATAAAGACACAGTGAAAACAAGAAAGATAGAGAACGAACTTCAAAATTACATTTATTAGAAGACTTTGCAGTTATTAAAGAATTATCACAAGATAACTATGTACATTTAAAAATTAGCCTTCATCCAGCTTTCTGCCCCGTGAATGCACTTTTCTTTTGGTCAATTAAGCTAACAGGACTATTTGAAGGTGTCCATTTAGGATGAACTTCTTTGACTTTTGCCGAAGATACCGGGTGGGTATACTTTTTTTTTAACAGATCCTCCTAATTTGCCAGGTATATTAGGTCATTTAGTTTAATCCAAGCTTTATTCTATTGTATAGTAGATTAGGACCGCGGCACGTCAGATTGGCAACGTCATCTTTTACTTTCGATTGAATTTGACCGCTTACGCTAACGACTCTACTATAGGAACGTTTCCAATCTTTTAAGGGAAAGAGACCATTTATTAATCCGTATTGTCTGTAGTGGTAGAGGGCGGATATGGCTTTTGAATGGAGCTTTGCTTTAGGGACTTACGATTTATTTGATCTCTTCCAATTGATCCGCCTTAACACAGTATTGGTATTCTGCTACATATTCTAATAATATATCGAAATTATTTACATTTCCAACATAATGAAAATAAAGCTGTCCATAATTAACCCTAAGGATGACCTAAACCTATCATGCATTAAAATGATGTTCACTTACATTTAATATCTTATTAGGCTGATTAGCCGTCTTCCTGGTTTGGGACGAAAGAGAAGCAACATGACTGTAATATGAGATGAAATAGATGCGTCATATAATGCGTCATAAGATATTGTGACATCATTGTCATTTGATCCAGATTATGATAGAAAATGAGACCAATCACATGCCCAACTAGAAAACACTATACTTCCTGTCAATAATTTATACGCCCCCCCCCCCGATCCCTATTATGTTATAGATAAATGATAATTGGTTCTCATTTACCAAGAGTGCACCCCGGATAACCACCCCAGTCAATTACCCCCTAGAACAACTACCCCTAGGACAACTACCCCCGGACAACTAACCCCAGACATCTACCCCAGACAACCATCATCTAGGACACCTAACCTCCGGACAACTATCCTAGGGGGTAGTTGTCCTAGGGGGTTGTCGTCCTAGAGGGTGATTGCCCTAGGGATAGTTGTCCTAGGGGATAGGTGTCCAGATTCGAAGTACTACTACAGTGTCACGTTAACACTGTATAGACAATGGAAAGGTATTCATTAACAATGTATAGAAATGGCAAAAATCTTACAAGGAAGTGCCTCTAGGGAAAATTTTCAAAATTGCTACTTTTAAATAATTTAGGAAATATAATATGTATATAATTTGTATATTTTTGTTCAACTAAAGTTTATTAACGAAACGCACTCAGAAATCAAGGAAATACAAAATAATTATTCTTTGTAGTATATTAGACTTTTTGCTGAATGTCAATTAGAAGTAATGAAACAGATGTTATAAGAGACAGAAACTGAATAAGTATGGAAGAAGAAAAAACGAAATTGTGAGCAAATAAAACAATGGAAGCGTTCTAAAGGACCCTTATTTTCAAAAGAAGAATAGAGAAGATAGAATAAAGAAAAGAGATAGAGAGAGAGAAAGAGATAGAGAGAGAGAGTGAGTGAGAGAGAGAGAGAGAGAGAGAGAGAGAGTCAGTGAATGAAAAATTATAATAGGGAAAGTTCAATAGAAACAGATAGGATAAATGAAGTGAAACAGGGAGGATAAATGAAGTGAAATAGAGACAAAGAAGAAAGAAGAGAGAGAGAGAGAGAGAGAGAGAGAGAGAGAGAGGAAAAGAAAGAGAATAGGGAGAGATCAAGATAACTCAATTAGATATATATGAGATATAGAGAATGGGGGAGAGGAAGGAGAAGACAGAGTTTGAGATCATGAGGATATGCAGCTAGTATATTATATAGAGAAAGAGGGAGATGGAGAGAAAGAGGGTAAGTAGGAAAAAAGACGAAAAAAGGAGATTATAGTATTTACAATTATAATGCACAATCGTTCAAATCAGCGTACTCAAAATATGTGTCACACACTAGCACGAATGGTTCATCGGAATCACAAACACAAGACACACGACCTTTCCAACATCGCTAACATGTTCAGCCTCTCCAAAGTACACATTTTTTATATTCAAAAGAAAGAATAAAATAACGACATTTTTAACAGATATATTACAATTTAACAATTTATTCAATTGCAACTTATGATTTCATAAATGAATGCATCTTTGGAAAAGGCAAGATTAATATATAATAAGAAGAAGATCCATTCAGAGTTCATGAGTCGATGCAGTCAATATCTAGAGGTTGACGTAGAAGACGTACGGATGATAACCCATCGGTGTGGAGAATGAAGACGGTGTGCGGTAAAGATGCTCTGCGTTATACGTGGATGTAGAGGGAGACGGAGAGCGGCTGCTACGAGAGAGAAAGTCTACTGACATCAATGGACTTTTGGCGCCCTTCGTCGAGTCATGTGGTGACTTATGCTGGAGCTGGATGACGTCATGGTGCAAGTGGTGTCGACCCGATGAAGGCATCGTTGAATTGGATCTCGATCGACTGCTTCGAGAGAGAAAGTCAACAGAGAACGTGGGAGAAACGGAATTCATCTTCTTGGTAGGTGGTGTGGTCTGGTCGACCTCAACGGTGTCGCACGATCTCTTCCGCTTACGACCGATGACGGCCAAGTCGATAACTCGGGCTGGTTGAAAGCGAGGATGGTCGATGTCGTCTTTCTTGATGACGGGTTGATGAGCAAAGCTTGAAACAAGAGAGGCTCGACGGAAACGTGCACGACGATTCTGAAACCAGACCTGAAAATAAGCAAAGGAAAAAGAATGGAAGAAATCATCAATTAAATATAAAAAAAGTGGCAAAAATACAATTAATTTCGACGTTTCATAGCACATTCTTTCGTTCAGCTAAACTGCAGCTTTTCCAATTTTATATAATCTGCATCAGTGGCAGAAGGAATGCATTTTGATTGAACAATAGCTTTAATAAATTAAGTATATTATATATCATAATAATCATCCTGTCATTCCGAAGGTTGAAGCTAGTTTTTAATAAATGGAGGAAGCCTCAAGTCAAGACAGAAAGGACAGCTTTCAATCTTAATCTTTGTTTCACTTAGTTATTGATAAGGTATTTCTTTTAAATATATATATATTGCTAATAAGTAGAAAGATATTTACCAGTACTCTGTCTTCTCCAATTTTCAGACTTGAAGCAAGTTGATCTCTAGTAGTGATACCAGTATACTGGTTGTCGTTGAACGCGGTCTCCAGAATCTGTAGCTGTAACTCAGTAAAGACGGTGGGATGTCGACGGCTAGGGCGTTTGGTAGGAATGCTACTCGATGACACTTGGGTGATCATGGTGTAATCTGCCATTCTGAACTAGTTGGAACGCGATTAAGATAGGTGATTGCTTGTTTAGAGCGAATTAATCCTTAACTCTTAATAATCCTTCACTCTTCCCCTATCACAGCTTTGTGAATGAATGGACGTTAGAACAAGAAGTCTGATTCTCGATAAAAAAATGCAGTTTGTGTAGGCCTATCATGGAAAATTAAATTACATAGTAGGCCAAATCCTTCACCGTCAATTACATTCAATGTGACTATCACAAATGTAATAAGGTAAAAACATCGAAACTATGTTAACTATGTTAAGTAATGCTTGATTTTACAATTAAGCGCTATGGTGCACAACATAATTATAATGACGAAGTATAGAAATTCCTAATTCAAAATATCTTTAAAATAATTAAGTATACATTATTTAGTTTTGGGATGTTTTTCTCTCTTTCTTTCTTTCTTTCCTTTTTTAAATGTCAGTAATTTACAAAAATACGAGCTCTGCATTTTGATAATTGGATTTCTCTTTTCCTTTATTTATAATATGCTCATATATATTGTGTATGTTTTGATTTTTTACTTATCGACATTTAAGATTGTATTACAACTAGGTTTTAACTTGTATGTTATATTGCAAGTATCATTTGATATTCATTTGTTTTAATGTTTTGATTGAGTTATGAAAATAAAATTATTTGAATTGAAAAGGACTTTGTCTATATTTCTCAATAGTTTTCGTTATTTCAAGCCTTGTTTGAGTAGAAAATAGCTTATTAATGTTCACATTAAGTAACTTTATAGCTAGTTTGCAGTGCTCACTTGTAAATCTTTCTCTAGTTAATATATGCATAAGATACTGATTTGAACAGTTTGACAAGAAACAAAAGTACTGCTCGGTCGCTTTGCTCACACGCTTGTACAGTTACGGCGAATTTTTTGAGCGGAGCGCGTTTTCATTATTTGTCATAATCCCAACATACGCCGTTTGGGCGGGAAAGGGCGGGGAGGAAAGAAACAAAGAAATAAAAAATGGAATGTGAAAATAATAGGGCGGAGAATCAACTGAGACACTACATGTACTAATTTAGGATGGTGGCTCGGAGGATCACTATGATAGAAAAAGCAAGTGATTGACAGTGGAATACAGGAAAAAAGGGGGCACGTGTGAGGAGGAGGTCGTCTACGAAAACTTTAGCCAAAGAAAGTGTGGTTAAATTGAGATGGCAAATGGAGAAAGAAAGACAGAATACAAAAAGTAAGAGAGAGAGAGAGAGAGGGGGAGAGAGAGAGAGAGAGAGAGAGTGGGGAAGGGGAGATTTTAACAGAGGAAACACAGAGAAAGAAAGCGATGAACGGATAGAGAGAACGAGAGAGAGAAATACAAAAGAGAGAGAGATATACAAGAAAGTGGTATAAGAGACCAAAAGGGAAAGGAAGGAAGAGAGAGAGAGAGAGAGAGAACAGATGGAGATTGATAGACATAATTATAGAGATAAGACACACACAGAGTAAGACAGAAATAAATAAAGACACAGTGAAAACGAGAAAGGTAAAGAACGAAATTCAAAATGGCATTTATTAGAAGACTTTGAAGTCATTAAAGAATTTCCATACGATAACTATGTACATTAATAGATAGCCTTCATCCAGCTTTCTGCCCCGTGAACGCACTTTTCTATTGGTCAATCAAGGAAATCAACAGGACTATTGGAAGGTGTCCATTTTATACGATGAACTTCTTTGACTTTTGCCGAAGATACCGGGTGGGTATATTGTTATTCAAAATAGATCCTCCTGATTTGCCAGGTATATTAGGTCATTTAGTTATTGTATAGGAGATTAGGACCGCGGCACGTCAGAGTGGAAACGTCATCTTTTACTTTCGATTGAATTTGACCGCTTACGCTAACGACTCTACTATAGGAACGTTTACAATCTTTTAAGGGAAAGAGACCATTTATTAATCCGTATTGTCTGGTAATGGGACAGGCGGATATGGCTCTTGAATGGAGCTGTGCCGTAGGGACTTACGATTTATCTAATCTCAGAATGAATCGGGCCGCTCCATCAAATTCATCTGCCTTAACACAGTATTGGTAATCTGCTACATATCCTAATATTATATCGAAATTAATTACATTTCAACATAATGAAAATAAAGCTGTCCATAATTAACCCTAATGATGACCGTACATCTATCATGCATGAAAATGATGGTCACTTACATTTAATATCTTATTAGGCTGATTAGCCATTCTCATAATTTGGCAAGAAAAAGAAGCAACATAACTTAAAATAGATGAAATAGATCATCATAATTCGCTATAAGACATTTTGACATCATTGCTCCATTTGCTTCAGATAATGAAAGAATATGAAAAAAACCAAATGCATACCAACTATAAATCACTATACTTGCTGTTAATGATTAACACGTATCCCCCGCTCCCTATTAATATGTTATAAATAAATAACAATTGGGTCTCATTTACCAAGAGTGCAGCCACGTAAAGTACTACTACTGCTCTTCACGAGTGCCCTATATTTTATAGTACTTCCCAGAAATCTACATTCTAGGCCCCACCGCAAAAATTTGAAATAGTTACCTCCACCTATACTCTTCATTATCGTATCGATGCCCATTTAAGAGAGGCAATAATATCCAGATATCTAATCAATTCAGAATAAATGTCATGACTTTCTTTATAAGCAGCACGACGCTTTAGTCATGATCATAGCCTTGCAATTTGTTCCGAAGTAGAGTTTCCCATCATCGCCTTCAGTTGACAAAGATTTCATTAAGGACATCGTTTCTTTCTTGATGTCGCTCGACGCCGTCTCCCGAAAGTACGCGACCTCTGTCAGAAAATCAAGAAGTTTGCCGCCTTCTTCTGACGTTTCGTCGAAGCAGGAAGTGACGTTGATTTGGGCTGGAAGGTCAAAGGTTACGAGAGGCCGAGCTTTCGCTTCGGCGAATTGAGCAGTCTTTTCTGTGAGTCGAGATTGAGTGTTCTCCTCTTTCCATGACAAATTGTCAAGGAACTTGACTAGTGTGTTGTCATCTGTTTGTCAAAAGAGAGAGAGAGAAAGAGAGAGAAAGAGAAGGAAATATATTTGTTGTATAGATAGAGCGAGATATATTATACGCAAAGATTGACCATTTTCAGTGTGTGTGATTAACATAAAGACAATAATTATGCTTGTAAAAGGAACAGAATTTAAAATACAGTCATAACCAAATAACAAATTGAATTCAACATTTCATATTTTGATAAAATGTATTGAAGCCCGTCTGTACTAGTTTGGCCAGGGGTATTACATCTCCACCAAGGTTACTGACAGGTGGTTATCTCATCATATCAGTTCTCCCTTAACATAAGAAAAAGGGAATCATGGGGACCAACAGGCACCGATTAGGCATTGTTTGCTTTATATAGGGCGCAAGTAGCTATAAGTAGTGCAGTGGGGCTTTAAATTGAAAAATTATCAAAACAAAATTTAAACAAAAATTTAATTTTTTTACATTCTACAATTTTAATTTAAAGAAATACAAAAATGCCCAGCAGTAAATAGTAATTTTAGTTGAGGTGTTATTTACGGTTGGGAAAATGATAGTGGGTGTATTTTTGATCATGTGACACACTTTTAACCAATCAAAAACCAATAAAGTTTTGATGCAGGATATAATATTTAAACTTGAGTAAGACCCAGGGGATTGAGAGGAAAGAGTATCAAATTTGATACGGTAAACGTGAACGTGAATTTATTGCTTATTGGAAAGCGAGTTTGGATCCAGTGAGTTTAAGAATCCGACCATTAAGTATTTACTCTCATTCAGGGGCGTACGCAGGATTTTTTCAAGGGGGGGGGGGGGGTTTAAAATCTGGCCCAAAATATTTTGCTCCCGAAAATTTGAAAATCGCGCCGGCCGAAAAGTCGCTCAGGGGGGGGGGGGGGGGGGGGGGGGGGGGGGGTAAGCGGACACTTTTGTTTTTGATTTTTGGTAGTCCAAAAAAAAATCGCAACGACTCAGCCAACCGAAAAGTCGCTTAGTGGGGGGGGGGGGGGGGGGGGGGGGGGGGGGGGGGGGGGGGGG